AGTGTAGCATGAAAGCAATGTGTAACCAATGACCATGGCTGTTCCCCAATAAAATTAAAAAGAAAAAAGGCTATGAAATCTAATATACAGATAATAGGAGTTCCTGAAGAAGAAATGCAAAGAAAGGGAACCAAAAAAAAATTCTAAAAACTGTAATTTAAGACAATCTTTCCTGAAACTAAAAAAACAAAACAAAACAAAAAAAGATTTGAAACTACAGCTGGAAAGAATATACCATATAACTGAGAATATTGACACAGACTGATCAATACCAAGACATAATCTAGAAAAATTATTAAACTTAAGAAAAAGAAAGAAAAAACAAAGTCTTTTCGGCATCTAGCCAAAAAAAGCAAGTTTTTTACAATGGAAAAAATAGATAATCAGACTTTTCAATAGCAATGTTCTATGTTCCATGTTAGAAGAAAAACATATTTAAGATAGTCAGAAATGAAAGAAAAAGAGAGAAAGGAGGGAGAGAGAAAGAAAGAAAGAGAGGGAAAAAAGAAAGGAAAACAAGGAAGGAAGCAAGGAAGGAAGGAAGGAAGGAAGGAAGGAAGGAAGGAAGGAAGGAAGGAAGGAAGGAAGGAAGGAAGGAAGGAAGGAAGGAAGGAAGGAAGGAAGGAAGGAGAAAAGGAAGGAAGGGAAAGGGAGGGGCAGGAGGGGTGGGGAGGGGAGGGAGGAAGGGAGAAAAGAAAGTCCCCCAAGGATTTTGTATCCAACAAAACTGACTTTATAAGAACAAATTATTATCACCATGTCAGAACTCAGAGAACATTGTTCACATGAACCCTTCTTGTGGGGACTATTAGAGAACAAGCTTCAGACAACGAAAACGACAAGCGAGACACCGACATAGGATTGCTGGTGAACATTAAATATGCAGCTACTTGTAGACAGAGGTCAACGAGGGCCAAAGGGAAGCAGCGGGGTGTGTCACGGCTCTATGCTCTGACCACGTAGAGACAGTACGATTTTAAAAGCAGGACAAGAATGGGGAGAGCAGATGCAAACCAAATCTGAACTGCGTTTGGAAACCACGTTGGTGGTGGTAGAGTTAGCAAGTTACTCGTTGTTCGGAGACTGCTGTGCATGCAATGGGAGATAAAGCAAATGGCACTTATGGGATAGTCTCATTATTTCACTTCTGTACCTTTGAGTATCAGGATTCTTGACGTGGAACAAAGAAGGTACTGCTGTCATAAGGAAGAAGCGAAGTAAAAATCCTGTGGTGCTGACTCTGAATTGGCAGTGTCAATACGAACTTATTAAGTATTTTGTCTTTAAATATATATAGTCATATATGTAGATTGTACGTATCTAAAGTGTATATAATGCATATATATTACATGTACATACACACGTGTATATGTATGTACATACAGCACCGGCCACCGAAAAGGCTGAAGAACAGTGATCAGCCCGGTAGCAAGGAATACCCTCAGTGCCAGACTATTGTCTTAAAATACCACTTCCCACTAAAAACAAAAAATAAAAACAGGGCTTCATGGAGCGATGGCTGATTCCATGTCTAGGGTAGCAAAAGTACCAGATGAGGACGGACCATCTTGGCAGACGAGAGCAGCTGTGAGAGCTACTAGGGTCGTCCGAAAGGGATTCAGGAGTCAGACTCAGAGGCTCCTACTGGCCAAAGAGGGAACATTTTCAACTCCAAATAAAGATCATAATTGCAAAGGCTTGAAACCCATGAAGTATGTTGAAATCTATGATAGTGACGATACTAAAACATATTCCAATAATAATGCTAGTTAAAAAGAATAATAAAGCCTTTTGGTCACCTTCAGAGGATGACAGGATAAGTGAAGGGAGAGCATAAGCCTTTATCCTGCCTTTCCCGGATGAAACGTGCCACTGAGTAACAAATAGCAGATAAAGGAGGGGAGACTCCTTTAGAAATATTCCAGTTAATCAGTGAAAAGGCATCAGAATAGCAGCATTTTGCAACTACCCGTGTGCAAATGCCTCTGGACACACTGAGCCTCCGTGGCTGTTAATATCCCACGGCAGCTGACATGATGGACCTCCCAGTGGAAGGCCCAGCACCCCCTCTGGTCTTGCCAGAGGGATGGAACCTGTGTCCGATCAGCCCTGGATCCAGAGGACAGAGAACAAGCTGAACTGCACCAGAAGTGCGCAACTAGCAACTTCCAGACCAGGAAAGCCAACCAGTTAGAAGACCCCAGGGCCTTTGACTGACAAATTGTAAGAAGAGGAAAGGGATGGAAGGGCAATCAGTAGATTAAGAGAACCAAACACATATTTAAAACAAACAAACAGGGGCAGCCGGTTAGCTCAGGTGGTTAGAGCGCAGTGCTCATAACACCAAGGTTGCCGGTTCAATCCCCACACGGGCCACTGAAGCTGCGCCCTCCACAACTAGACTGAAATGACTTGACATGGAGCTGATGGGTCCCGGAAAAACACACTGTTCCCCAATAAATCAAACAAACAAAAAAGAGCAAGACCAAACTCTAGGCAAGACCAAACCAAAGTGTCTAGGGATAGACGCTGGGGTGATCAACTACGAAGGCACACAAGGAAGGGTCGGACCAGGGGTCACTTTTGGGGGGAGGGAAGAAGGGGCAGTGATTTTGATGGGGGTACACGAAGGGGCTTGTGGGGAGGCTGCAAAGTTCTTGGACCTGGGTGGTAGGTTCAAGGGTGGGTTTGCCTTATCATGACTCGTTCAAGTCTAATTTATTCAAGTGAGATTTTCAGTATCTGCGCTTTTGTTTATGATAAAACCCCCAAACCTAAGTCAGATCCTATCATGCCTTCCCTCGAGGCCCTCTAATGATGCCCCCTCACTAGGGGAGGGGCTCCTGTTAATGGCTGGTCATCGGCCCTGCACTTGACCTTGCTGCCTGCCCTCCAGCCACGAGCTTCTTCAAGTCCTTCCACGTGCTGTTCCCTCTGCCCAGAACACGCTTCCCTGTGTCTCCCTGGCTCACTCTTCACCTCCTTCAGGCCTTTTCTCGATGTCATCTTTCTAGTGATGTTTTCCTTGAACATCAGTTAAAAATTGCACCCTTTCAGCACTTCGTATCCCCTTCGCTGCTCTGTTTTCTCTGTGGCCTATTTTGCATCTAACCTGTCACATATACACTCACGTGTCTTGGTTTTGGTCTGGGTCCCGTCTTGGGAGGGGCAGGGTTTTTTGTCTGCTGGACCCCCAGTGCCTAAAACAGTGCCTGACACATGGCAGTAAATAGCTGCTGCAGGAATGAGCCCGAGAGGGCGGAGGCCTCTGGTGTGTTCAGCCCGTATGGTCCTGGCTGAGGGCCCTGCCCGACTGTCACAGCCAAGACACCGGTGCCCAGAGGCGGCAGCTCTCCTTACAGAGCAAGCCTGGGCGATACTCATCCCTGTCCAGCCCAGGGGTGCCACAAGCGACATGGAGCGCCATCAAACACAAGGACAGGAAGTCCCAGGTTGCCAGAAGGAGCTGTATTCCCTAACTCCCCACCCCAAGAGATGGGGCGGGTTTAGTGCTGCATATATTTCAGACTGACCAGGAGGCGGGCCCAGGGGGAGGCTTTTTATCTTGTGTTGGTGGATGCACAGTTTCTGCTGGTAAAATTGTTCCCCACTTGGACATGGTCACCAAACTGATGAGTATTTGACGGAATCCCCCAAAGCGCATCCTGAATTTTGGGGTTCCCCACACACATATTTGAGAACCACAGGCTGTCACAATTAGTTGAGATTTCCCCCCCAAACCTTCCAAGGCCCCTCACCACCAGGCCCACCCTACCTCTCCCCCTTTGCCCAGCCCCGGATCTCTGGCTCACGTCTGTCTGCCTGTTGGGTGCCAGGCTCACGCACGTGCTTGGCCCACTGCCCCCTCTCGGAACGCCCTCTTTCTCCCTCTTCCTCCAGCCAAGCCCCACGCCTTTCTCATTCTTTCCTCTCACAGTCAGTGAAGCCCTGCTCGGTGCCAGCCCCGTCCCAGGCCCTGGACCTACACAGGGAAGACCGCGTCACAGCAGAGCTCTCAGGATTGGCAGGGACAGACACAGGGGAGGACATTTTACTTCTGATTATCCTCACTAAGCTACATGGAGGGCCCGAGTGCCGGGGCAAATGCGCACTTATTCATTTACTTAGTCCTCACAAGACTCCTACAGCACAGTTATTATGATTGTCTCCATTTCACAGACGGGTAAACTGAGGCACAGAAAGGTTAAGCAGCTCATCCAAGGTCACAAAGCCAGTCACTGGTGGAGCTGGGCTTTGAGCCCAGGTGCTCTGGCTGCAGAGCTCGCTTTCTTAACTGCCATGTGCTAAGAACAGATGGAAGCATCTACTGGAGTTTAGAGGGAGGAGGGACTGAACCTGTCCAGGGGTCGGGGAGGTTCGTGGAGGAGGGGATGTCTGTGCTGGATGGCAGAGCGGGGAGCTTCTAGGCTGAGAGGACCGCGTGACAGCAGCCCAGGTGGGAACGCTAGGCTACGTCTGAGGAGTGCAGTTCTTCAGTGGGGCTGGGCTGGGCTGGGGGGTGCCACATGGGGACCGTGGGGTCAGCAGGACCTGCGATTCTTCCCTGAGGGGCCTGGGTTTAGATCTGTGGGTGGCACGGGCATGGAAGTGTTTTTCTCACGGGCGGGACAAGGTCTGACTACCGGCTGCTCCCTGAGGGTGTGGAGGGCAGGCTGGAGATGGGGAGGGGCCCCTGGCCCTCCCCCCACTCTGGAACCCTGGGCGAGTGGCTAGATCTCTGACACTCAGTTTCCTCCTCTGTAAAGTGGGGACAGAGATGGCACCTGCCTCCCAGGTGGCTGGAGGCGGGAATGAGACACTGCAGATAAATGTGCCCAGCAGAGCAGGGCTGGCAGACGCCTGAAAGGGCCGCTGGTTATTATAAGGGCCTCAGGAAATCTTCCCTGAGACGGGGTGTGGAGGGTGAGCCTTCGCCCTCTGCCCTCTGTAGAATGCAGCCCACTCTCCTGAATGCCCCGCCCCCCCCAGGCCAAACTCACCACCACCTCCAGGTCAGAGTTCAAATGCCGCTGGGTATCTGACATCTGCACCAAGATTTCACCTGGAGGCACAGAGAACAACGGTGTCGGTGGGGAGAGCCTGCCCCAGCCGCCCTCTTCCCACCAGGAGCTGCCAGAGGGCCTTCCTGAGGCTGGATTTGGGGACCGAAGTCCAAGGATTTCCCATATTGCCCTGGTACCCCAGCACCTGTCCCAGACCTGGAACAGCCCTGCAGGGAGAGTCTGAACCCTTGGCCCCGAGCTGCAAGGCCTGTGTCTTTGGGGGGACTTCCTGTAAGGGCAAGACTATAAAAGGAACCCCTCTGGGACCCAAGAATGGGAACAAGGCAGGCCAGGGGGAGGGGAGGCACCAGGCAGGCAGCAGAGTGGCCTGGAGCCTGGACAGCAGGGGGAGGCCTGGGGTGGAGGTGGGGCTAGGAGTACCCCCCAGGCCCAAGCAGGTATGGGGGATATAGTAGAAGAGGGAAGCCCCTCACCCAGAATCTGTGAGGTGGAACTCTGCAGGGCCTGCTCCCCAATCTTCTGGATGGCACTGAAGTATACCTCGGCCGCCTCGGACAGAGCTGCATGGGCGGAAGGAATGGGTCTAGTGTCAGCCCCCTCCACCATCTGCCCCCACCCTCTGGAGACCCCTCCTTCCATCAGGAGAAAGTGTGTGGAGGGGACACTGTAGGATCTGGCATAGGTATATATGAGAGGGAGGGGGTGTCCTGGGTGGCGTGTGTGGAGATGTAGCATTGGCCAGAGAAGAGAGGGGTGTGTGTAGCATCGGGTGGGTTCTCCCTGCAAGGGCAGAGCCTGGCGCTGAGCAGGACCTTGGTGTGGGTCTGTCGTGGGTGGGGTGCAGGCACCTGTGTGCCCATGAGGGGTGGGCAGGCGTGTCGTGAGGCACAGGTGTAGGGGCACAGGGTGGGGGCAGGTGAAGGGGCGAGAAAATAGGCTTTGACTCCAAAGTCCTAAAAGGCAGGGAGTGATTGGGTGCACTTGGCTCCAGGGGTGTCCCTGGCCTGTTCATCTAACAGAGGGCTCACAACCCTCTGTCCATGGTACTGGCGGAGGGGGCGTTGCTGGGAAACGGTGAATGACTATCTGGTGTGGGGTGCAAAGAATATGGGTGGGGCGCATGGGGGTCTGCGCGGAGGGGCTGGGTGGGTGGGTAGGGCAGGTGGGTGGCCGGGCGCTTACCATGGAAGGCCCGGAGGTAGTTGTTCCCCAGGTACACCAGGTTCTCCAGGGCGGGATTAAACTGCTCCATGATGCTCTGGACCCCAAGGGCAAAGGGACAGAGCGTGGAGATTGGGAGAGGAAGAACGAATCATGAGCACAGGCACGTCACTGGGCCTCAGCAGCAGGGCACCCCAACTCCAATGAGAAGCCTCTAAGTGGGGAGACCACTTAGAAACCTGGGGTCACCCAGAATCCTGCAGGGGCCTCAGAGGCCATCTCCTAGGGCTCTGTTCCATGCCAGAGTTGTCTTGGCCAGCTCGTGCTCATACACCTACCCTGGGTGGACCTTGCTCCCAAGACAGTGCACCTGGAGGGTTCTCCTCCCACTCGGTTGAGGCCTGCCAGCCTGTTGCAGCCCTGAGCTGGGCACGGCTCAACCTGGCCCTGAGTCCAGGTCTCGCTGGGCTAGATACACAGATTGCCCACAGTCACCTCAGGGGCAAGAGCAGATCTTGCCCTCCTCAAAGAAGAGTCCCCTGGGAGCAAGGCCACCCGAGGCCATGGCCAGCAGGAGAGCACTCTGGGTGGTGGAGACAACCCTGGGCTTGGACTTGGACTTGGGTCTTAGTTCAAATCCCTGCAGCCCCTCTGCCTCCCTTGGTAACCTTGAACAAGCTGTTTAACCTCTCTGGCCTCAGTTTTCTCATCTATCAGATGGAGTGATTATTTTCTACCCCACAGGTATGGTGTTGTGAGGCTTACGTGTGAAAAGGTCCTACATACAGTAGGTACTCAGTAAATGTCTTTGGAGGCTGCAGCAACCCCTCTGGAGCGCAGCAGGAAGTTTGAGTGAGGGGCTCAGAAATGAGAGTGAGACAGAGATGAGAAAGAGACAGAGAGGCAGAGACGGGAAGACAGAAACACAGAGAGAGAAACTCCCCACTCTCAGGCCAGGAGGCTCTTTGGGGCCCCTGTTCCCAGCTGCAGCCATGCCCAGTGTTTGGAAGCTGAGGCTCTTGCTAAGTACCATCTCAGCAGGCCTGTCACTCACTGGGTGACTGGACAAACCCCTCCCTGGGAGCCTCAGGTTGGGGCTGTGGTGGCTGACTGCCCCCAGAGATCCCCACCCCCCTGCCCACAGCTCATCCCGGCTTGTCTCCACTGGGTCTTCCTTGCCAGCACATGCTGCAGCCATGCTCACCCTCTGTCCTCCAGCGCTGGCCGGACCTTTGCGCCCTGGGAGGGGGTGTTCCGGCCCCGGGCCTGGGCTGGACACGTGCTTACCTTGTAGATGGCCATGGTAGACCTGTAGAACTGGTCCATCTCGGGGGCCATGGAGTGGGCTGCACCCGGGTGCTGAGCAGGAGGCTGGTGGCGCTGGCAGGGTGCTGGGGGTCAGTACCCACTGGTGCCTACCGCTCGGCGGACGGTAAAGGAGGCTGCAGAGTGGGGCCTGGAAATGGAGGGCCGGCCAAGGAGGAGGTGGCAGCTTAATTATTCAACAGCCGGGGATGTCAGAATGCGATCTGGGGCGTAACCAGACCCGGCGGGGAAGGCATCCTGTGACGCGAGCGGGTTCGTGTGACCTACCCTTCAATTATTTACCCCTGAGCCGCGGACCAGCGGGCACGCGTGGATGAGTCACTCTCCTAGGTCACCTCCTCCTTGAGGACAAGGCCTCCCCGGGCCAGCTGGGACCGCTGGCTCTGGGTGGACCCCGGCCCTCTGCCTATTTATACTGGGTACTGCCTACCCGACTGGGCTGCGTGGTGCCTTCCTCCTGGACCCCCCTTGCAGACCCAGCTCCTGAGGATGACCCCATGGACTGTCGTCACTGTCGTCAGGTCTCTCCTCTGCTCTGAGCCCCTCAGACCTGCACTTGAGCTCCTCAAGGGCCAAGCCTCCCACGTCTGCTGCTGCCCACCAGCGCCTTCGTATGATGGAGAGGGGGCAGCACAAACCCTAATGTTACACAGACCTGGGGCAAACTTTGGTCCTGCTCCCTTGCTGTGTGACATGACCGCTGGAGCCCCCGCCCTCTCTGGATCTCATCTCCTCCCCCTGCAAATGAGGCCCTCCCTCACCTTCCACCATGGGGCAGGCGGGCCTGGGGGAAAGACGAGGTATCCCTCCCCTGGGAGCCTGAGAAACAGAGTGGCTATCTGAGTGGGCACAGGAAGTCTGACCGAGGGCACGGTAAGGCTGAAGGTCAAGGCTGAGGGGCACTGGTGGGTGGGGGGACAGGGGACGCTCACACCACAGTACACACAACTCGGGAACTGGAATCAAACCGTTTATTTCACAGCTTGGGGCAGCCCGCCCCACTCATAAACCATTGCCTGTTGGGAAGAACAATTCAAGTCACGAGCAACCTTTGAGAACTGAGGCGAGCTGGCAGGGTGTGGCAGCTCTGAGGAGTGCAGGTGGCTGAGCAGCTGTTGCGGGGCAAAGTCGAATGGGGCACCCCACACCCAGAGCATAGTCTTCCCCTGCTGACAGGGTGGGGAATGGCCAGTTTCTCTAGCTCCACCCCCAGGGAAGAGGGCAGAGGGTGGAAGGGATGGCTGCATCTCCAGGGGGCCTGGAAGAGCCTAGGGCCCTCTGGGAGGCAGGGGCTGGCGACACGCCTGGGTGCCCTTGTGTTTCAGCTGACAGGACAAGGGGCCCAGAGTTCATTGTCCTTGGAGGTCAGGGAGAAGGCCCCAGTGAGGCTCTAGGCTTTCCAAGCCTGGAATGACAAAAAGTGCCAGAAGGCAGGGGTGGGGGGCGAGAGGCCTTCGGGACCAGCCTCACACAGGAAGCCCAGCACTCTCTGAGGCCTGGTCTGTGGACAGGGCTGCCTGGGCCCGGCTCTGCCCAGCAGGATGGCGCTTGGGCCTCATCCTCCTCCCCAGCAGGAGGTGGGTGCTAGGGTCCTGGGGGGCCTGGCAGCCCTACGGTGAGAGTAGCAGCTGGATGAGCTTGTGGAACTGCTCCCGGTGCTCGTAGATATAGACCTCGGTCTCCCAGAGGGCGTTGACCAGCACCATGTCACTGATCTCATCCAGCATGATGTCTGTCCCCAGCTGGGGGTTCAATCTGTCCAAGTCAAGGAGGAGGGGTCACCCCAGGTCTCTTGGCCGGACTGGGGGACAAGAGCTAGGACTTGGGAAAGTCCATGCCAAGGACTGGGGTGGGAAATGTTGCCAGATGTGGCCGACCAGGGAGTGGGGCCGGGGCCGGGGCCAGGGCTGGCCAAGCCCTCACCTGAAGTACTGGATGTCGACCATCTCACACCAAGCCCGGGCCCGGTCCACAGCCCGCCCATCCGCATCCGTGCACTGGTGAGAAGTAGCCTCTGTGAGCACACAGCACACGCCACACCCACAGTCCCTGCCCAGGGAGCCCCAGGTTCCAGTCTGGCTTAGCCACCCATCAGCAGGGTGGCTCTGGGCAAGTTCCCCTCCCCGCCCAGCTGTATGATCAGAGGGGCCTGGTCTGTGGTTTACATGGTGGCTGAGCAGTGCCCATCCAGGGTCAGGGAATGTGCTGGGGATGGGCAGAGGCTGAGTGGACAGGCCTCCATGTCCTGCCCCCTGCAACTGTGTCCGTCTGAAATTCTGGGGTTCCACATAGGGCTGTTGGAAAGAAGGGATCCGCAGCTACAAGGCGCTTGAAAACACCCCTGTAGGTGGTCATTGAGGATCCCTGCCAGAACTGGGACTCTGAATAAGGGACCCACCTCTTCTGCCCCCCTTCAGTGGGCTAAAGAGTGTCAACAAAGGGCACCATGGAAGAGGGTGAAGGCGTCTTCTGGGGCTGAGACCCTGAGGCAAGTGGGGAGGCCCATACTCACACAGTCCACCACCATCTTGCCCAGTTCCTTGGCCCCAAAAACAGTCTTAGCCAATTCCCAGGGGTTGCTGGGACGGAAGACATCCACACAGGTCACGGGCACCTGTGGGGACTTCCCTGTCCCCAGAGAGACGACAATGGACAGTTTCTTCACCTTGTTGCCCTGACCCTGTTGGGAACACGATAAGGATAGTCAGAGGATGCCCTCTCCCTGGTGGACCTTTCCACGGGTGAGGAGCACCCAGAGGTGAGAGAGGGGCCTACAGCGGGGGACCCTGGGTGAACATGAGGAGGGAGAGAGGCCTCCTGTGGCAGGAGCACAGCCGTGCTGCCTCCTCCTTTGGTCCTGAACAAGCTCTACTGCCAATTTGCTGGGTGACCTTGACGAGACACTCCTATCCAGGCTGGTCATCCACAAGAGGAGGCAGCTTAGATGGGTGACATCTGAGGACCCTTCCCCATCCCACCATCTCTGAATCCTTCCTCCTCCAGGAAGCCAGCTCTGCCCAGTCTGGCCCCTAGAGGGCGCTCGTCTCTCTGACGGCAGAGTCCCAGCCTCGCCCCCGGGGGGGGGGGGGGGGGGGGGGGCTGTGTGCAGGCCTTAGTGATGGCTGCGGTGATAATCACAGCCAGCAAGGATGTGGGCCAGGCACTGTCCTATACACTTCACAGATAGGAGCGCACAGACGCCTCCTGACAACCCCCAACCCCAGTCAGGGGCTGAAGGGAAGCGTGGGCAGATTCAGGACTCAAACCCAGAGGCAGGGTGGCTCCAGGACCCATGCTCAGGACCCACACTGCCTCCGCTTGCACACGTGGGCCTTGCCCACCTCCGCGTGACGCTCCTCGGGCTGAGGGCCCCGTCTCTTCCTCCAGATAACTGACTTGGCACTGCCCATCCCCAAGGGCCTCAGGATGAGGTACCCTTCTCCATGAGCCCTTTTCTAGCCCCCAAGTCTCCCAGTAGAGGCGATGCTCCTCCTGGGCCCCCAGCACAGTCCTCTGTCACAGCACCCGAAACACTAGGAAGGGTGATTACTTGTTTATGGCCTGTCTCCCCTAGATGTGAGCAACTCAAGGGCAAGTGTGTGATCCCAGGCTGGGTGGAGTGGCTAGGCCTGGGACTGGCAGGTACTACTGATACACATGCTGCTCTCTCCTGGAACAGCAGATGCTGTTAACTGATCATAATTCTGCACCATAGGTCCAGGCTGGGCCTCAGAACTCCTCTTAGCACCGTGCCTCGGGCAGACACCACCAAACAGGTTCAAGTGTGAGATAACAAATCAATGAGTGCGTGAATAAAAGCCATTTGCTTTCTCAGGAGTCAATCCTTAGTAAGGTTTGCTGAACCGGGCTAGCGGCAGTGGGTGGTCATGTCCGGCCCGTCCAACCTGGAGGTGGCTCTCACCTTGCGGGTCATGTCCTGGTTGTACTCATGGATCTCAGTCATGGCATCCAGCGTGGGGTTGTTGGCCAGCAGCCCACCATCCAGGAAGCGCCCATTAGGCCGGAAGTAGGTGGGGGCTGCCCCACTGCTCCGGGCTGCCCGCCACACCAGCTGCTCTGGAGTTGGGAAGGAAGGTGGCCCAGTGGGACAAGGGACTGGTATAAAACCCGCAGGCTTCAAATCTTCATGTGCATGTGTACTCGGGAGAGGCAGGGGACTTTTCAGGAGCAGGCCTGACGAGGCCATGCTGCCTCGCTCCGCCATCCTGATGGAAGGCAGGGTCTAGCTGAGGGCCTCCCGGGGCCTCCTCTGGCCTGCCCAGGCCTGACAGCTCCCCAGCTCTGCCTGTCCTCAGCTGACAAAGGCTCAGCTGACAGGGCAGCAGGGGGTGAGGGGTGGGGGGCTGGATGTGCCCGGCAGCAAGCCTACGACTCCCACCCAACACCCCATGGCCTTACAGGCCAATCACCTCCCACAGATGCATCAAACAAGGTTTTAACCTGAGGGCTGAGTTAGAGGCTTTAGGTTAATATTCTGGCTGAAACGAGGCTCCCGCACACACTCCGGGGCTTCGTAATTCCGGAAGAGGTGGAGTTCAGCTGGCTGCCGGTCAGACAGAGTCCCTGTCAGCATCACCCTGGAGAGAAAAAGGAGCAGGACGCCTGAAGCCACTGACGCATCCAACCCGTGGGAATCCACTTCTGGGAATCCACCCTGAGACACTCTCGCCTGTGTGGAGATGGACACGCACGAGGCTATTAGCAGCACTGGCTGTTAAAGCAAAAGACTGGCAACAACAGAGCTGCCCATCCGCGGGTCGGTTCACTGCCCCACGGTGCCCCTGCCCAGTGTCACTGCAGAAGGACTAAGCAGCGCTTTACATACTGATAGGCACTGAGCACCAAGATGTATGGTCAAGTGGGAAAAAAAGATTTAGGGCAGCGCGTGTAGCATGCCACCATTTATTTAAAAAGAAAACCTATGTACTTATTTGCTTAGTCAGAGGGTAACTCTGAAAGGGCCCATGAGCAGTACCTAGCAACAGTGAGCAGGGGGCTGCTTGGTGGCTACAGCTCCAAAACAGGAAGCGGGGAGACTTCACTATGTCACCTTTGATACCTCTTCAATGTTCTATGTACCATGTGAGTGTATAACCTATTATGAAGACATGTCATGAGAGACACAGACATCCTTAAAAGCTCTGGGGAATATAGACTGGCACAGTCGTCTCAGAAATTCACATGTATTATATAATATTAAGACCTTTACCAATGTCCCGGCTCTTTGATCTGGGAATTCCATTTTAGAAAATCTATCCTAAAGGAATAATCTTAGTTACAATGAAAGCTTCTTGTATAAGGCTATTTGTCACAATGTCATTTATTATAGTGAAAAATGAACCCATCTAAATGGCAACAAGGGAAGGGAGTAAGTAAGTACACAATGAGGTGTTTTTTGGCCATTCACAATTATGCTTGCAAGGAGTTCAGAGCAACACAGAAAGATATTTATTATATTGTAAGGATAGATATAAAGGAAAGGGGACTAAAAAAACCCTCTGCATCAGAAAAAAAATTAGTTTTCCATTTCTGGGAATACTGTGGAAAGGTTATTTAAACAATCTTCCCACTAAACAAAAAAACTAAATGCTGGGGGGAAAAGAATTTCATATATATATATATATATATATATACACACACACACACA